GGTGGCTTCAAAGCACTCGGGTGTTGCCCCTCCATCCTGAACCTGTTGCCCGTGAAAGCCTCGAAACCTCCAAGCTCTGCTATATGCCCATAAGGGTCCTTACCTTATTCGTGTTTAGGGTTTAGGGTTTAGGGTTTAGGGTTTAGGGTTTAGGGTTTAGGGTTTAGGCTTTGGTAAATGAGGCCGAGGTGGACTTTGCCATGGGCCCGCTAGCCAAGTCAGCAGGAGCCACAGGTGTCAGTGGGGTTGAGGCGCCAGCACCCGAGCCCTCTACATACTTCCGACGAGCAAGAATAGTGTCACAAGAATAATCGTGTTGGTATGATTGTCTTTCATACAAATAGACAAATACATAGACAACAGATAAACAAATAATTACATACAACAATAAATGAATATAAATAAATAAACAAACAAATACAGAGATAAATAAATAAATGAAATATATATATATATATGTTTATCATGTATATATATATATATATATATATTTATATATCTACACATGCAGAAAGTTAATTTTATTTCTTCGTGTTCTTACTATATCATTTTTGTCATCATTATCATTATAATTGTGCTCTGCCATACCCGAGAACCTGAGCCGAAAGGATTCGCCACTGACACCTATATGCCTATGCCCTAAATTTTCCTGATTCAAATTACCCTGCCTTAGCTTCAACCCTAAGCTTGACCTTTTTCTTGGTCCCAAGGTTCACAAGGTGTGAATCTGCTGTGCTACAGGATATCCGCGGTTTAGGGTTTACAGCGTTTAGGGCCGGACAGAAGCACTGCATCTTGGCCATCCTACGGCTCAAGATGTTTTCCTGCGACAAAGCTTCGCAAGGTGTGCTTAAAGGCCTCGCGGAATTTCTCGCGCGCTTAGGCCGATTATGGCCGATTCAACGTGCCTGTTCGGTTGGATTCGCCTTCAGAGTTGATCAAAGAACGCGACGGCTTGTCGGGTAGGAGCGTGGAGCCGGTAGTCATGAGGCAACTCCTGCATTAGATCATCAGCCAAGCTTAACAACTAGAGCCCGAAGCGGTTGCATCATGTCCATGGATCTGGAGCCCACGATCCATCCGCGTGAGCTGCACCATACGCAGGCTTGGCTAGGGCCAGGGTTTGGGGCTCAGGGTTTGAGGCGGCGTGAGGTGGCCCTTCTCCAAGCCCTGGCGTATGTGAGTGACCCCCAACTTTAGCAGAGCCACAGCACAGGCCCACCGGTTTGGCTCACAGATGCCTGTCTTACCCTTTCTTGACGATGGACTTGTCCGCCTCGCAACACAATTGGCCAGTTGGGGTGCCAATGATATTGTTGACCGGGGGGGCCCGAGAAGGGCTCGCGGGCCCTCGCTACCCTCTCCCCGCTTCAACTTCATTATTGCACAGGTCAAGCCGCCCCCGGTGCTCCGAGTGCCACCAGCCGAAGGCACGGCGACGTTGAGACTGCTTTCGGCTTTGTGGTGCTGATCCATGCAAGTGGCCATGCAGATTGTGGACAGCCGGTAGGCCTGCACAATAGCTTGCCCGGATGCCCCTCGCAGCTGCCCTCCGGGTCATGAAGCAGCCGGCCGCTGATGCACATGATGCTGGCCTCAGTGGTGCCGGATGCCCCTCATAGCTGCCCCCAGTCGTGAAGCAGCCGGCCGCTGATGCACATGATGCTGGCCTCGGTGGTGCCGGATGCCCCTCATAGCTGCCCCCGGTCGTGAAGCAGCCGGCCGCTGATGCACATGATGCTGGCCTCAGTGAAGCAGCTGGCCGCTGATGCACATGATGCTGGCCTCAGTGGTGCCGGATGCCCCTCATAGCTGCCCCCAGTCGTGCCGGATGCCCCTCATAGCTGCCCCCAGTCGTGAAGCAGCCGGCCGCTGATGCACATGATGCTGGCCTCAGTGGTGCCGGATGCCCCTCATAGCTGCACCCAGTCGTGAAGCAGCCGGGCTGATGCACGTGATGCTGGCCTCGGTGGTGCTGGGTGCCCCTCATAGCTGCCCCCAGTCGTGAAACTGCCGGCCGCTGATGCACATGATGCTGGCCTCAGTGGTGCCGGATGCCCCTCATAGCTGCCCCCAGTCCTGAAGCAGCCGGCCGCTGATGCACATGATGCTGGCCTCAGTGGTGCCGGATGCCCCTCATAGCTGCCCCCAGTCGCGAAGGAGCCGGCCGCTGATGCACATGATGCTGGCCTCAGTGGTGCCGGATGCCCCTCATAGCTGCCCCCTGTCGTGAAGCAGTTGGCCGCTGATGCACATGATGCTGGCCTTAGTGGTGCCGGATGCCCCTCGTAGCTGCCCCCAGTCGTGAAGCAGCCGGCCGCTGATGCACATGATGCTGGCCTCGGTGGTGCCGGATGCTCCTCATAGCTGCCCCCAGTCGTGAAGCAGCCCTGGCCTCAGTGGTGCCGGATGCCCCTCATAGCTGCCCCCAGTCGTGAAGCAGCCGGGCGCTGATGCCCGTGATGCTGGCCTCGGTGGTGCCGGATGCCCCTCATAGCTGCCCCCAGTCAGCAGCCCTGGCCTCAGTGGTGCCGGATGCCCCTCATAGCTGCCCCCAGTCGTGAAGCAGCCGGCCGCTGATGGCACATGATGCTGGCCTCGGTGGTGCCGGATGCCCTCATAGCTGCCCCAGTTCAAGCAGCCGGCCGCTGATGCACATGATGCTGGCTTCAGTGGTGCCGGATGCCCCTCATAGCTGCCCGCGTTCGTGAAGCAGCCCTCCGCTGATGCACATGATGCTGGCCTCAGTGGTTCCGGATGCCCCTCATAGCTGCCCCCAGTCGTGAAGCAGCCGGCCGCTGATGCACATGATGCTGGCCTCAGTGGTGCCGGATGCCCCTCATAGCTGCCCCCAGCTGATGCACATGATGCTGGCCTGTGCCGGATGCCCCTCATAGCTGCCCCCAGTCGTGAAGCAGCCGGCCGCTGATGCACATGATGCTGGCCTCAGTGGTGCCGGATGCCCCTCATAGTTACCCCCGGTCGTGAAGCAGTTGGCCGCTGATGCACATGATGCTGGCCTCAGTGCTGCCGGATGCCCCTCATAGCTGCCCCCAGTCGTGAAGCAGCCGGCCGCTGATGCACATGATGCTGGCTTCAGTGGTGCCGGATGCCCCTCATAGCTGCCCCCAGTCGTGAAGCAGCCGGCCGCTGATGCACATGATGCTGGCTTCAGTGGTGCCGGATGCCCCTCATAGCTGCCCCCGGTCGTGAAGCAGCCGTCCGCTGAATGAAACTCCAAGCATAGCCCTACTTCTGATGGCCTCATATCTGTCAGAGCCGCCCCGAGCGTGAACAGCAAGCTGTTGAGCATCATTATCTATGGTCCCCGAGTCCCCGAAGCATCGAAGTATCGGGAAGCCTATCATGCCCACTCACCTTTTGAGGTGTGTTTGCGCAGCTTGCAGACCTTTCTCGCCTGACGCGGAATCTGCCCGTCTATCGAAAGCTGCAGTGTGGCTGGGACGCGGCTGGTGGTTTTTTCGCTTCAGGATCTAGGACCGGGAGTAGGCCCTTTTTCCCTTTTTTAGGGTTGGGGTTCCTTATAATCCCCTTAAACCAAAACAAGGCACCCTTTTTATTCCTAGGTTACTCCCGGGCCTAGGGATTTCAGACTGCTTCACACCCCAGATTCAACATGTCCAGGGTGCGCCGAAGCCCCCAACCCCAAGCCACGAGTGAGCAACGGCACGTGCTGGGTTGCTGTTGAGGGCTTGAACGTGGGCTGCAGAACTGCAGCAAATTTTGTGTTGTCTTGACTATGGCAACTACATTCCTTAACAGCACCCCCCCCCCCCCCCCACAAAAAAAAAAACAAAAAACCCGAAACCCTGAACCCTGACTTTGGAACCCTGAGCCCAGCTGAGGGTTAGACTAAGCCCAGGCATTGGCCGCGGCTCCTTCGGCAAGGCGTATCTGGTCGAAGTCGTGAGGTGGGATCTGTGCTCAGGGTGCCTGGGATTTGGGGCTTTTGAGGGATTTATCCGATTTCGGTGTGGGTTGTATGTAGGGTCTATGCATCTTGTTGTTTGTGGGCATAGGGTCGCAGGTGTGCGTGCGATCTGTTCAGGCTCTTGTGTCCAGCTCGTTGCGCCAACGGCCTTAAGATCTGCAGTTGCGATGACTTTGTGGCGTTTTGGGGGGGCATGTGTGGGCTCAGAGCTTAAGAGGTTTCGGGTTTCGGTTCAATCCTTCGCGCTTTGGGATGTATGTGGTGATAGCCGAGAGCACGTGCAACTGTTTGAAGCCCCTTGCTCTCAAGCATGGTGGGCTGATCGTGAATCGGTCGCTATGTTATCGCCCGACAAGCTACGTACTTCGTGTCTCGTCGAAATCGGCTTGGGAGCTCTCACTTGCCTCAAAGCAAACCCATCGTGCCAGCATTGTGGTGGGCTGCACCCCCGCAACCCCCCACCTTCTTAAGCCACGCAAGCTTGCCTCCAACACCATATTATACATCCCTTCCAAACCCATCACGCCAGCATTCTGTTTGAGCAAACGAAACTTAGGCGAGAACAACCTACCCAAATCCTGATCCCCTTCGTGTAGTCGACCCCACAACGCACATGCGCCTGCCACAACGTCGCACAAGCCTTTAAAGAATCTGCAGGGCTGAGGGGCGATGCAAGGGACTTGGGTGAGAGAGCCTGCGGCTAGACGCTAATGAGTACGAAGCCTAGGCGAGGACGCCAATGTTGCCAAGCCAAGCCACACCTTTGCAAGGGGACACAGGCGAGCCACACCTTTACAAGAAAGAACCTCCGCCGTGTCTTCCCGCGGGCCCCTGAAGCGTAAACACCAGCAGCTTTGGCCCCAGAAAGCCATCCCAAGCCAATCAGGGCGGGCAAGAAGAAAGCAGATACTGCCAGCCACCGCGCCACTTCCTCAGAAGCCATAGTCGTTTAGATTTAAGGGTGTTCTGGGTTGAGGATTCGAAGATGGAACAGAAAACTGAAAAGCTTGTGCAAGCTCCATCATCGCGCAACAAGCTGCTGAGAGGCATGGCTACGAAGTGGTTGCCTGTGGATTTGGAGTTGAAGGAAGCGCCGGCTTCGGTCTGTCTGTCCGTTCAGAGATTAAGGCGTCGGGTAGTGATGAAAGGTGAGAGAGCACCTTGGCAGCCCTGTGCCGGCATCAAGGTGCTCAAGAAGCTGCCGCTGCTGGAAGTCGGCGAGGTGCCTGAAAGTCTGAATCTCCGGCGAAGGGGTCCCTTTACCCCTAAGATAAAACATGCCCTAAACTTTCCTGAGCCCTCAGCCCGAAACCCTATAAGCCCTTCAGCCCAAAGCCCTATAGCCCTTAAATCTCCTTTTCAAGCAAGCCGCCCTCAAACCCGGATTTCCAAGCCTGAAGCCCCAAAATTGCAAGCGCTGCGCGCCAAGCGGCTCGGCCCGAAAATCTAGACACGGCTCTGTTGAAGGCTAGATTGGGTTGAGAATTAACCCTACACCCTAGACATCCCTAACCCCCCCCACAAAGTATTTTGGGCTCATGGTTGCTAATGTCGACACTTTGCCATAGTTCTTCAGAAAGACCCTCCAACATGAGCCGGAAAGGGGGGAGTGGGTGTATCGAAGGGATAAGAGGTGTGGAAAGCAGGGGAACAACCGACGCCCGCTGAGGTGGGGCCTTCAATCCCTGAAAACCCCTAGAGCCCGCAGGCCCAGCGGGAAGGAGCATTTCGCGAAGCACAGCTGATGCGCAAGATCTCCCGGAATTGCTCCTTGAGCCTGCACTACTGTAAGGAATTATCGGGTTGGGGGCCGGAGGGTGGAGAGCTTCGGGCTGAGGGTTGTGGATTGTTCTCTAAATCCGGCACCCTTCTAAGCTCGAAGCCTGCGGCCTGAACGCTTCCCTCGCAGGTCCATTCATCACACAGTTCCACGAGGCCGGTGTTGGGGGACTTAATTTTGGTTGAGGGAGCAAGTCGACCCGAGCCCGATCCTCTTGAAGCCCTTAGACCCCGCGACCCGTCAGGGATTGGAGCAGGCGTAGCAGCGGCATAAGGGTCTTTGAACGAAAAGCTGGGTGTGGCTTTGTCATGGTTCGGCGCAGAGAGGACCAAGCCCCCTGGGTTTCATGTAAGTTTCTCCAGGGAAGCCTAGACAGAGCGTGGACTCTGAAACTGCGACAGGTGCTGCTGTGCAGAGGCGGCACCGTTCTTTGCCTCATCATGGAGTCTCCTGGCCTTGCTAGGAAGACTTTCGCAGAGTTTTTTCCATCTAGGTTTGCTTGGGTGTAGCAAGCTCGCAACGACTGAGACGGCTGTGTACTCTACTTCTTGCGTAGCCGTGTGCCGTCCTTCAACGAATTGAGAGCTCCCAAGCAAGGAATTAGATGTACTGCAAACAAATCCCCAAGATTCCCTCAAGCCTCAGATGAATCAGGATTCCAGCGCTTCTGCAAGAAGTTTCAGCCCTTGGCCCTGTGGCGTTTTAGGTGGCCCCCCAAGACCCCAAACTCGAAAGCCACAGGCCCTAAACCCAAAACCCTTAAACCCTAAACCCTAGCACTCTAAACTGGCTTAAGGTACTGCTCTGGAGGCGACCTGCGGGGTGAGATCCTCCGCCGGCGCGACGAGGCCGAGGCGCGTTTGTCGGGGGGGGGGGGGGGGGGGGGGGGGGGGGGGGGGGGGGGGGGGGAGGGAGGCTTTAGGATTTAGGGTTTCGGGTTTTTGCATGCTCTGGGCCTTGATCCGGCTTCTAGAAGCATGGGAGAACAAAAGCAGCCACCACCGAAATCGAAGTGGAGATGAATTATTACCAGCGATGTTTGGTGTGCTGGATGCCCCAAGACCACCGCATGGTGTAACCCTGAAGCCCTGAAGCAACCAAAGACCCTGCCCCCCCCCCCCCCCCCCCTTAAATCCACTCCCAAACCCTTAAACCCTAAGCGCTCTTTTGTTGGTCTTTTCTTCGGCTGCTGGCTTTCGAACTTGCGCTTCCCGCAACCAGAGGCAGAAACCACCGCTGGGCTGGCTTGTGCCTGGAAATTCTCTTGGATCGGTATGGGCTCAGGTAAAAAACTCCGGGCAGGAACAGCCCTGCGGCCCAGGGGCACCCGAGGGGCTTATGCTGAAGCACCTTCAATCCCAAAGCCTGAGGCCCAACCTATAAAGTGCCTCTTTCCATTGCTTCCCTGCATCTTTTAGACCCGCACTCTTCGGATCATTGCTCCCTGCATTTCGGAGGGCAGGAAGTTTGCTGAAGACCAGCTACTTCGGCTCCTTCGCTGCAGTTAAGCCGGCTGTTGGGGTTTGCAGGGTTTATACGTTTAAAGCGGCGTATGGGGTTTACAGGGTTGAGTTTGGGTGTGTACTGAAGGGTACTCGCCGAAGCTTGCGCAAACCAGGAACCCGAAACCCAAGTTTGCCACCGGATGGCCTAAACCCAAGCCAGTAGACACCCGAAACTCCCCAGTCGAGGTGGGCTGCGCAGATAGCTCTTGCCCTACAGCACTGCCACTCCCGAGGACTGCAGGGGAAGGGCACTAACAACACACAGCTCCCGCCAAGCGGAACTGGTTTAGGTAGGGCTATGGGGCTTAGGTGATTTACGTGGCTTGCTCTGCCCTAGTCCCTAGCAATCAAAACGACCCCCCTCCACGGCCCTCGAACCCTGAACCCAAACCCTAAACCCTAATTCCCAATTCCTAATTTTCCCGCCTCTTGGAGGCATCCTGCATCGGGACGTCAAGCCAGGGAACTGCTTCTTCCGGTGCCCAGGTCTAGGGTTTGGGGGTTTTGGGGGTTTTTGGGGTTTTGGGGGTTTTGGGGGTGTTGGGGGTGTTTGGGGGTTTTGGGGGGGTGTTTGGGGGTTTGAGGGTTTTGGGGGTTTTGTCTTTCTTTTGTGGGGGGTTTTGGGGGGGTTTTGGGGGGTCTTGGGTTGTGTGGGTTTTGGGGGTATTTGGGGGTTTGGGGGTTTTGGGGGTTTTGGGGGGTTTTGGGGGTTTTGGGGTTTTGGGGTTTTGGGGGGTTGGGGGGTTTTGGGGGGTTTTGGGGGTTTTGGGGTTTTGTGGTTTTGGGGGTTTTGGGGGCTTCTGAGTTTTTTTGGGTTTTTGGGGTTTTGGGGGGTTTTGGGGGTTTTGGGGTTTTGGGGTTTTGGGGGTTTTGGGGGTTTTGGGGGTTTTGGGGGTTTTGGGGGTTTTGGGGGTTTTGGGGGTTTTGGGGGTTTTGGGGGTTTTGGGGGTTTTGGGGGTTTTGGGGGTTTTGGGGGTTTTGGGGGTTTTGGGGGTTTTGGGGGTTTTGGGGGGTTTGGGGGTTTTGGGGGTTTTGGGGGTTTTGGGGGTTTTGGGGGTTTTGGGGGTTTTGGGGGGTTTGGGGGGTTTGGGGGGTTTTGGGGTTTTTGGGGTTTTGGAGGTTTTGGAGGTTTTGGAGGTTTTGGAGGTTTTGGAGGTTTGGGGTTTTGGGGGTTTTGTGGGTTTTTTGGGTTTTGGGGTTTGGGGTTTGGGGGTTGGGGTTTGCAGGGGTCACAGGGTTTCTAGGGTTTGAAAGGCTTTAGGATTTGTAGAGTTTCTTCTTCGATACTCTCGGCCAGTTCGGTGCGAAAGAAACTATGCAAATGTTTGCAATCGGGTGGACTGATCGAGCCTCTGTCACGGCGTTGGGGGAGAAGACCGCGTGAGTGGAAACACCAGTTCAACAAAATCCAGCAGCTTCAACATTGCGGGGTTTGGTGTTTGGGGTCTAGGGTGTACATGAATTTTCATGAGGGGTTGAGGGTTTTTGGTGAAGAAGCTTATCCGGTTGTGGGGTTCGGTGAAACACTCTTTTAGGCCTGCCATTGAATTCAAAGTGAGCAGAGTCACGCACAGGTGGAGCCCTCCTCCTTGGGGATTTCGGCATCTCCTGCGACCTAGACGAGCAGCCTGTACCGCTTCATCTAATGCTGCTTCGGAAGCCTGAGGTTTAGGGATCCGGGATACTAGGTCTGAGCTGTTGCTGGGTATGAGGTGAAGCTGAGTGTAGGAGATTGGAGGCGTCAGGTGCTGGTATGAAGCTGGACAAGTCCCCAGCCCTATAACCCAGGCTCCTTCCACCGTGGAGCCCAGCTTTCTCTCCCAGATGGGTGTTTCCCTCTGAATTCTACTCGAAGGTGAGCCCTGAAGAGACCCCTCCAGCGCATGCCCCCTGAAGGGGTGCAAGGGCTTCTGGTCTAGGACTTTGCCCCTGCAACCTTTTCCAAAGTGTCCCCGCATAAAAGGCATCACCTGGCAAAGACCTGCTGCGGCTCGCCGTTGTACCTGAGCCCCGAGATCGTGAACCAGCAGCCGTACCTGGGTCTCTTGAGAAGATGGGCTTGGGATGTACAGATGTACATCGCCATGCCACCAAGGTTCCGAGGTGCCGGCTGGCTTCGGTCGCCTAAGCCCTGAACCCTGCCAATCCTGAACTAACAACCCCAGCAGCCACAAGGTACGCTTACGCATCCGACGTCTGGAGCTTCGGCATAACGCTGTACGAGATGGCCATGCTGGTTCCGCCCTTCAAGGGTAGCAACATCTGCCAGGCAGGGTGTTACAGGGCTTGTTGGTTGTGGGGCTGAAAGGCTCTACTCTACGGTGCTTAGGCTTGTCATCGTTTGTATGACTGCCCTGCCCTATTTGTATATGTCAAAACCTGTGACTTGTGTTGATCTTGCGAAACCTTAATGTGGAGGTCTCCTGGAGGGCCAAGGAGTTCTCCCCGTCAACTTTCGGTCGACCAGGTGGCCCAAGGTCTTGTACCAAACTGCGCAGGGGTCTGCTGGGGATCTCCCAGTACTCCATCGTCAGATTACCAGCTACGACATGTTTGGAGGTTGCGGCCCCTCGCCGCGTTTCGAGTTCGATTCGACGAAGTCGAAAGAAAACATGTCTTAACGCTGAAAATTAACGTGTCTAGGTCAGAAGATCCCAGATGTTCAGGAGACAAACTTGTTGTTCACGGGCCGATATCCTTCTCCAAAAGCCCGCAGAAAGAAGCGTGACCATCTTCTTCCGACAACATTGCGAGGACTCAATGATCAGAGTCGAGTGAGTCCAAGCTTTGTCGCTACCTCGCAATCTCAACTGCAGCTTGTCGCTTGAAGGCAACGGAATTAACAACCCTTTTCCGCCTGCCGAGTCTTCTGGCCCCACTTACAGATGCTTCTGCAGTCGATCCGACAGCTTCATCTAAAACAATTTCTAGTCTTGGACGGTTGACGTTTGAAGGAACTTATATAGTTTAAGTAGGCTATCTTTGCTTTTTCGGTCACCTACCAAAAGACGCCCTAAACCCTAAACCCTAAGCCCTAAGCCCTAAACCCTAAATGGCCCGAAAGGATCCCAAGGCTTTTGCCTTCTCTGCGCCAGGTCGCCTTCCGGATCGTCGGCACCGAGCCTCCGCCACTGGAGAGCCGAAAGGGGTGAGTGTCTTAGGGTTTGGGTTTAGGGTTCAGGGTGGTTTAGGGAGGCCACACTCGTTTCTTTGAAGAAGGCCTAGCGATCCCCGACAGGCCCGCCCCCACCTCCACCCACCACCCCACCACTCCCCCCCACCACCCCACACCCCCCCCACCCCAAAGCCAGAAGAAGTTTTCCACCATAAAGACGCCCCCATGTCTTCTGACAGCTGGATCTTTGGCCCCGTTTCTGGCCACCGTGAGGTCAAGACGGCCAACACCTTTCAGACCCTTAAACTCTCAACCCCAGACGCTAACAATAAACCCTAAACCCTAAACCCTAAGCCCTAAACCCTAATTTTTAGCCACCCATGAGCCCGTAAGTAGGAGCCTGGCTTCTCCAGCGCCTTGGCCATGCTGATCCATCGACTGCTGGTCAAGGCCCTTACCCGCACATGAAGGGTTTCCGAACATAGGGTTAAGGGTTAAGGGTTTAGGGTTTAGGGGTACTTTTGTTTTTTTTTCTTTTTTTTCCGGGGGGCCGGGGGGTCCCTTTAAGGGGATTCGATTCTATTTGGGGCATAAAAGGGGTACCCGTATTTTGAGAAATGCCCACATGTTCCTGGCTACTAGCCCCAAACCACGAAACCTACACCAATCAGGAGGTCCGCAGCCTTGCAAAACACCCCCCAATCCATCACGTCACATCCTCAGAGTCTCAGTAGATTGGGAAAAGAGAAAAGATCTGCAGGGAAACTTCACTTTCAGGGCTTTCAGGGCTTTCAGGGCCTTCGGGGCCTTCGGGGCTCCTTGGGACCTTGGGGCGGCCACAGAAAAGTGCTCGGGTTGAGGCGGTCAGTGCGTTCAGAGAGTGCGACGCTCGCATTCACAGCGGCACCTTTCTAGCCTCGCTTGCAGCATATATATATATATGTATATATATGTATATATATGTATATCCATTTTCGAGACCGGGACGCTGTGGGAGTGCACTTTTTTCTATTTGTTGAACGTACATTTTCTATGAATAAATAAAAAAGCAAATAAATACATAATGTGTATATAAGATATCATGCATGTACATACATATATATATACATATATACATACACATATATATATATGCTCACCCCCCCCCCCCCCCCCTGACAGACCCCGGAAACAAAAAAAGGGCTGAGGGCGCGACGGACAGCATAGCTGCACACAGTAGCCAGACACGTTAACACACAATAGAGCATATATTTTTTCGATTAGTACGGCTTTGTGTTCGCAATGACAGATGCAGGCAGATGTGAGAAGGACGCATGCTGTAAGGACCTGAACAATTTGCTCGACATCGTGGATTGCTATTGATTTTAATAAGATTGCTCTTAGTTTTACTTGGGTTCCTATTAAGTTTATTAGGATTCATAGGCTTCGTATGAGTTCAATAGGAATCCTATTTAAATCAATAGGAACCCCATTGAAATGAATGAGAACCCTATTGAAATTAAGACGAGTCTTTTTTGAAAACTTAGTAAGAATCCTAGTACAATTAATAAGAACCTGGTTGAAATACGTAGAAGCTCCTATTAAAATTTCTTGGCGTCCTAAATTCAGAGGAACCATAGGAAGGCCATTCAAATGAATAGGAACCCTTTTGAATTCATAGGAATGCTATTAAAATTAATAGGAACCCTACAAAAGAATCTATGAATTCTTTTTAAGAGTAACAGGAATCCGTGTAACATGAAGATGAATCCTATTAAAGGATTAAGAGGGGCCAATAAAATTCTATAAAAACAGCAATGTGGACCCTTCAAAACTTAAAACAATAAGAGTCGTACTGTTAGAATTATAATAACCCTATTAAAACATGTAATTAACAGGATTGCTAATAAAACAAATGAGAGTTACAATTACATTACTTCGAGTCCAATTGAAATGAATAGGGAACAGGATTTAAAAACATAATCGGAGCACTGTGGAATCTAGTAGGAATCCTATGAACATTTTTAGGAACCCTGTCAACATGAATGAGAAACCCTGTCAAAATGAATACGAAGCCTATTCCAATTAATCAGAAGCCTTTTTAAATGAATAGGAAGCTTGTCAAAGCAAAAGGAACCCGATTAGAAATTGTAAGACATCTTATGAAAATGAATAAGAAGCCTATTGAAATTAATAGGAATATGTATAAAATTTGTTATGAAGCTTATTAAAATTCTAAGACTTTTATTAAAACTAACTAGGAAGAAGAATGCTATTACAATTACTCAGAATCGTATTCCAATTATTTGGCATGTAATTAAAGTGAATAGGAATCAATATTAAACCCAATAAAGTCCTTTAACAGGCATCCTTTAAAATCTAATACGAACCCCATTAAACAAATACAGGAATCCCATTGCCATTGAAGATCACTTAGAATGCTAGTAAAATGATTAGGAGTCTTATTAATTAAATAAGGACTCCCGTTAAAGTGAACAGGGGTATTATTAAATTTAATAGGCAGCCTAAAACATAATAAGGAATCATATAAGAACCCCTGAAAAACTCTTATCAAAAATCCAGTTTCTAAAAATCCAAAAATCCAAACATCCACCCCAAAGGTTTGGATTTTTGGAAACTCGAGCGAGCCTCAAAATCCAAAAATCGAACAAATTCCTCGAGTTTCCAAAATTCCAAAAAAACCCACCCCAAGGTTGGGGATTTTGGAAACTCGAGGAATTTGCTCGGTTTTTGGATTTTGAGGCTTTTGCTGGAGTTTCCAAAAATCCGAAACTTGGGTTGGAGTTTTTGGAATTTTGGAATTTTGGAAACTCGAGGAATTTCCTCAAAATCCAAAAATCGAGCAAATTCCTCGAGTTTCCAAAATTCCAAAATTCCAAAAAAATCCACCCCAAGGTTGGGAATTTTGGAAACTCGAGGAATTTGCTCGATTTCTGGATTTTGAGGCTCCCGCTCGAGTTTCCAAAAATCCAAACCTTGGGGTGGATTTTTTTGGATTTTTGGAATTTTGGAAACTCGAGGAATTTCCTCAAAATCCAAAAATCGAGCAAATTCCTCGAGTTTCCAAAATTCCAAAAATCCAAAAAAATCATCCCAAGGTTGGGGATTTTGGAAACTCGAGGAATTTGCTCGATTTTTGGATTTTGAGGCTCCCGCTCGAGTTTCCAAAAACCCAAACCTTGGGGTGGTTTTTTTTTTGGATTTTTGGAATTTTGGAAACTCGAGGAATTTCCTCAAAATCCAAAAATCGAGCAAATTCCTCGAGTTTCCAAAATTCCAAAAATCCAAAAAAATCCACCCCAAGGTTGGGGATTTTGGAAACTCGAGGAATTTGCTCGATTTTTGGATTTTGAGGCTCCCGCTCGAGTTTCCAAAAATCCAAACCTTGGGGTGGATTTTTTTGGATTTTTGGAATTTTGGAAACTCGAGGAATTTGCTCGATTTTTGGATTTTGAGGCTCCCGCTCGAGTTTCCAAAAATCCAAACCTTGGGGTGGGTTTTTGTGGAATTTTGGAATTTTGGAAACTCGAGGAATTTGCTCGGTTTTAGGATTTTGAGGCTCCCGCTCGAGTTTCCAAAAAGCGGAACCCTGGGTTGGATTTTTGGATTTTTGGAAACTCGAGGAATTTTGGAGTGGTGCTTTTCCCCCCGCCCCCTTCCTGAACAGACCGGAAATATACTTCCGGGGTCTGTCGAGGGGGGGGGTGACCATATATATATATATATGTGATCAGCTAAGCCCATCGGCTGTCTTGCTTGGGGCTTGGGGCTTGGGAGCAACTCCAAACCCTAAATCCTAAACCCTGAACCCTGAACCCTAAACCCGAAACCCAAGACCCCACTCAGACTGATTGCGCCTTCGAGGAGGCTTCCAACAGAGCCACGCTGGACGAGGCCATTGCTGAATTGGAGTCAGAGAAATCTCAACCCTAAACCCTATAAACTTAAACCCTAAGGGCTCGGCCGTACCAAACCCAAATTCATTCTGTGGACTTAGGGTTCAGAGTCCTTTAGAGTTTTAGAGTCTGAGATTCAAGGTTTAGCGTTTCCACCATCACCTTGAGTTATTGGTTTGTGTTTGGGTGGAGCTGTGAGGCGGGGGGATTATGGGCTTTCCGACGTCTTGTCCTCCCGGCGATCCCAGGGCAGATGGCTGCTTCTGGGATGTCGGGCGATGTGGGGCGCAACGACGCACAAGTCTGGCGTAGAGTGTGTCAATGTGAAGGAAGAGATGTTTTACGCGGAGCTGTGGTCGAATGTTGGCAGGCTAGATAGGTATGCAACTACGTGATTGGACGTTGGCAGCTGAAATGATATTTGGATGCTGGGTGGGCGGCTGGGTGGGTGACTGGGTGGGTGGGTGGGGGGTGGGTGGACGAGTGGGTGGGCGAGTGGGTGGGCGGGTGGGTGGGCGGGTGGGTGGGGAGTGGGGCTGGGGCTTCGGTCAAGGACCGAGCACTTGTTCCGTCTTGAAGACCCTCTGTGTAAAGAAGGGCCCACAGGAAACTTTAGCTCACACATTGAATACCGGAGACTCCGCGCACCCCGGCAAAGGCCTACTGTTTTGAACATGGCGGGCACGAGAGGGTTCTGATTCCTGAGTCGCAACGTGTCGTGGCTGGTCTTAGCACAGCGAAATTTCAACACTCGTACCCTGCCTTCAAAAAGAAGCGCGGTGCCAGGCGCTGCATTCTGCGCCCCTGGCGGCTGTGGCGGCCGCTGTGGCGGCGGAGCACGGATTGCGGCTGGAGCCGGCTCCGCCAGCAAGATCTTGATTTCGAAGGAGTTTGTAGAATGTTGTTTTTGGGCGGGGGGGGGGGGGTATTGCACAGCTTGCACTGTAAGACAGAAGCCCCAAACATTGAACTCGTTTAGCCTTGCAAGCACTAAAATCAACTCTGTGATTGAGGAGTTTGTGCGGTTGTTGCGTGTGTTTGCGGTGTTCATGTCAAGTCGACAGCGCCCTAAATCCTATACTATACTCCAAGCCCGAAAGTGTCAACGCAACATAGCACATACTGTTTAGCTTCGCAATGTCCTGCCCAGACCGTCAAACCCCAAACCTTAAGATGCTAAGCTAAACCGTAAGCCCTCCAATGTGCTTCCATTTCTCCTTCATGCCAGCTTGCGGGCGACTCTTCCGGCGGCCTAGTAGAGCGACTACGGCGGACGATGCCCTCACATTGCCAGGAGAGACCTTTGGACCATTGGTGTATCAGAAATCTTCTTGGGGCATGTTTGGGGGAGTTGTAGAAGCGAAGCCATTTGGCCCTCCGACCCGACTAGGCTACGTAGGTTACCCTTGAGGGCATGAGGCACTGGGCCTTAGGGTTCCGGGCAGGAGGAGTATGCCGACGACTTCGACGAGGTGGCTCGGTTTCTACGGTTTCTGAGGATGCCCTAAACCCTAAACCTTAGCCCGAAACCCTAAACCCTAAACCCTAAACCCCAAACCCTAAACCCTAAACCCTAAACCCTAAACCCTAAACCCTAAACCCTAAACCCTAAACCCTAAACCCTAAACCCTAAACCCTCCACCCTAAACCCTAAACCCTAAACCCAAAACCCTAAACCCTAAACCCTAAACCCTAAACCCTAAACCCTAAACCCTAAACCCTAGGCAACCTTCCGGAGGGCCCAGGGTGCCCTCACACCCAGAGGAAGATGAGAGCGACTATGGCGACGACTTCGAGGATGCCAGCGGAAGCGACATCTCTTACGCCCCCTGATTTTTGAAAAGGGTTTAGGGTTTAGGGGTTAGGGGTTGAGGTTTGGGTTTGGGGGTTAGGGGTTTAGGGTTTCGGGTTTCGGGGATTAGGGTTTAGGGTTTAGCTAGCTGTTAGGGTTTTAGGGAGTCTGCAGCCCGGTGTTGCGCACATTTAAGGTTGAGGGGTCCTGAAGATTGGGCAGATGTTCTTCCGAAGCTGCAAACGAAGGACGTAATTAGCTCTCAATCCTTAATCCTTCAGCCCGTAACCCTCAGAGCCAGCATTCTCCAGCCCGAAAACCCAAGCCCGAGGCGCCAGACTTCGAAACTGCCAGTGACAGCGACGATGGTGCTGCTCGTGGGCCAGAGTTGTCAGAGGAGTCGAAAGGGTCAGGGTGTTCAGATGGGAGTTGTTCCAAATTCAGCACCGGTACAGAAGATGTCTCTTGTCACAGAGCCTAGGACCGGAGCAAGCTCTGATTCCCTTTTCTTAAGGTTGCTCTAAAACCAAAACGGGCAGCCGGTTCATTCGTTACTCCTGGGTCTAGGAACCCTTCGCCAACGATCCCAAGCAAGCTCCTAGTCCACCAGGGGCCATGAGCCTTTAGGGTTGCAGTCCCCAGCCCTTCCGGAAGGTTCGGAGAAGGTATGAGAAGGGCTCAAGGTTCCAGGGTCCTACACCCTAAACCCCTAAGCCCTGAAAGGGCCAAGACATCCGAAGCCTCGAAAGCCCCTCAACTTCTTGAGTGCCAGGAAGACCTTCGGCTGCAGGTCGCTGCTGAGCTAGGAGAGGAGGTGCCTGCACCCCCCCGAAACAGGAGTCAGGGGGCTTTCGGGTGTTCTGGGCGTGGGCTTTGGATGTGAGCTTTGTGGGTGCCGCTCAGTTGACCTTCATGTCCACGCCAATTTCTGCCAGAACTCAGAACCCCGTGGCGAGCCCATACGTCCACACAGACCCATACAGCCCATACAGTACACTGTGCACTCAATATGGACTCTGAAAGGACCTCAGGCAGAAGCCCTGCAACCTAAACCCTGCCACGTCCAGGCCATGGCCATCGCGGAAAGCCTTGGCGTAGTAAGCTTCCTCGAGAGTCTGCAGCGGCATCGGCGGTGAACGCCGAGGGACAAAAGACAACGATGTTGGGTTTTGGATGTCAGGCTTGGGTGCTGATTTCTAATCGACCCCTGCAAATCCGACAGGTCCATGACGGCAGCATTCTGGTACTGACAATATTCCAAAGGTTTACATTGAGGCCTTTTGAAACTGTTGCCAACATATTGTCATATTGACATGTATACACACAGAGACACCCACGTACACAGAAGGCAGCCAAGTTGTGCATGGGTTGGGTGGGAACCATGAAGCCCTTCACTCCCAGCCTTGAACTGAACATCAGAGAAGCGCGACAGGGCGTAGCAGTTGGTGTGCTAGGGTTGCACGTTGTCATACTTGCACCCCCCCCCCACCATGTTTTGCCTCTTGTAAATGTCATTGGACATGACATGACTCTCGTGTAAGTTAGCCCTCTGAAAACGGTACAACTTTGCTGTTGGCATCTGATGTTAACGTCGCTTTAATAAACCCCCCCCGCATCTTGTTCTGGTCCAGGGGTTTGGAGGGGTCAAAAAAATAGGGGGTGTCAATAATTGGAATCTGGGGGTCTTCTGGGGGTTTGGGGGGGGGGGGGTCAGCTGTCAGGGTCTGCTCTGCTTGTCTTGAAGGGAGCCTCGGAGCTCTTTCAAGCCAGCTCAGCTGAAAAGTCTTCTCTGCAATGGAACTCTTAAGCCATTTTCAGTGAAATTTTGCATTCCTGGCCGGAAAATATTGCAAGTGTCACCCCATTGTTATTCTCACCGGACCCCCCTTTTTTAGACTTGTTTATAGATTTCAGCCTGGAAACCTCCCGCAATGGAAAGTAGTCTTCGGCTGGGGCCCTCTGGCCCGGCGAATATTGCAATTACCACCCCATTTATAAATGTGAGGTTAACATTAGCCGTTTGTACTATCAGCACCTGTGTCTCCGAAACTGATGTATATAGGTTATCAGCTGTGTCCGTTGCGGAAACACAAACTGGTGGGGGCGCCAGGTCGAAGGTGCATGCGCGGTTTGTGTCGAGGGCATGCCTGTGCGTGTGTTTGGGATGGGAGGTCTTCGGCGTGGCTGGGGGCTGGGGGAACTGTGATGCAAGGGGCAGTGAAACCGAAAAAGAGACGAAAGCCTGCCAGCTCCTCAGTGTTGTTCGAAGACCTTGGTAGACTAGCCGCCGGCTTAGGGCGTGCCACGCAACTCGTCCTTTTATGGTTTGGCTGGCCAGCCGACGCGTCTTCTCACCAGGCACCCACCAGACATGGAATCGACAGGGGCGGACAACTACCAAACCCAAAGCCTTAAGAGGCCGTGTTGGTGGCAAACCCTGAACCTCGCAAGGTCGTAAGCCAAAGCCTAAACCCTATGCACCAAGCCCAAAAACAGCCCAAAATGTCCTATGAACCATCGGAAACGGGGCCAGTCTCTCTGCCTGCGGAAAGACTCCACAGACTGGCAGACCCTAAACCATAAGAAGGTCGTACATTGAACCCTGAACCCCAAAAGAAGAACCCCAAAACGAAGATGGGTCGCGAAACAAGCCGACAAACCCTGAACGCCTGAACCTTATAAGAAGATGTTGGGTGGCAGACCGGGTGGAAAGGCCTGGGCCTTCGAAGGTCATGTTGGGTGGCAAACCCTAAACCCTAAAAGCTCTCGTTGGCTGGCAAACTGCCCTACACCCTACAAGGTCATGTTGGGGTGGCCCTGAAAAGGTCTTAAGCCAAAGATGATGTTGGGTGGCAAGCCTTGGACCACGAGAGGTGAGGCAAACCCTGAACCCTGAATGGTCAGGTTGGGTGGCAAACCCTCAACTTTAAAGGGTCATGTTGCATGGCAAACCTTAAACCCCAAAAGGTCATGTTGGGTGCCCTGAACGTCAAAAGGCCTTCAGCCAAAGCCTAAACGCTGTGAACCCAGCTGGAGAACCCCCGACAAAGATGTTGGGGGTCAAGCCCTGGACCCTAAAAGGTCATGTTGGGCGGCAAACCCTAAACCTGAAAGGGCCATGTCGGTTGGCAAACCCAAAGCCCTAACAGGTTATTTTTGTGTGGCAGACCATGAACCTCAAAAGGTCGTAAGCCAAAGCCTAAACCTTATGCACCAAGAGGCCTGGAAAACATTGGCCTGTGAGTGCGAAGCGGGGCCCGGAAGCCTCCAAGACCCTCCGGAGGCCTCGAAAACATTGCACCCGAGTACCGTGGGCACCTTGCAGGCGCGGGCACGTGCGCCTTGAACAGCTCGGCCAGCTGGTGGCTTGTTCGCAGGGACTCAGCGCATCAGTGACGCCCCGGAACTTATCCCAGCCGAAGCGGGCCTACTTCAACAACACTCTTGTCGCCGATGCGTCGGGCATGCCTTTAGACATCATGCTGCGAGTATTTTCCGCGACTTGGCAAAGACCAGCAGCCACAGCAGAGGAAGGTGAGTTGGAGCCCCCCACACGGCGAGGCGAGGAGTACGTCTACATGGAAAGGTAGAATGCTTCACTTTGGATGTGAAAGAACAAAACAACGTGATTAGCTATCAAAACCGGACAGCTTTCTTTGTGCAGCAGCAACTCATTCAGTTAAGCAGTACGGGGAGTGTGACGTCGCGCAGGGTGAAGGGGCACGCGAACAGAGAAATGGAGATTCATAAAAACCAGGGTTTCGGGCTATCCACAGCTTTCCGTCAAATAATCACAAGGGGGCAAGCCAGATAAAGCCCCCAAAGAAGCCCCACAAGTCTTCAGAAACTCCCTAAGGTGATTTGTGGCCGAGGGATTCGGCATTTTCCTTGTAAGAGTGTTGCCGGGATTTCGAGGTTAGGGCTGCTGCTGTTCATATTGTTGACGGGCTCGGGGACTAGGTTTCTACCTTTGTTAACAATACCCAAAAACAATCCCTATACTGCCCTTATAAGGAAGAATACCTTGTTTTTTTGCAGGGTTCTTCAGCATTAGTAGGTTTCGAGACCCTTCTTGTCGGTACTCGACCGGATCGTCTGCCTAGGCTGACAATGAGGACGCCTGCACCCCGTTTACCGAGCGGTTTGATGGGGCGGAAGCCTAAGCATGGTGGGCTTCGGGTTTAGGGTTTAGGGTTTAGGGTTTAGGCGGGCTTGCAACCTTCAACGCATTGACCGGTCTAGGGTTCTCGGGTTTCCTGCCTCATGCCTATACCCGCCTTCGAAACCCAAGAGGGAGGTTTAAGTGTGAGGGCTGCTGCAGGGGTTGGGTCCTTTCCTCCTGAATTTGTAGGGCGTAGGGTTTAGGGTTTAGGGTTTCGGGTTTAGGGTTGAGGGTTTAGGGTTCAGGGTTCAGGGTTTAGGGTTTGACGCTTGCTAGGTAGACATTAGCGGTCATTTTTCTAAGGGTTCTTTGTGTCGGTTAGTTAGTTACGTGTGAGCTCAATAGTGCAGCACAGAACCCAGCAACTTTGTGTTTCGGGGTTTGGGGTTTTTCGGGTTTTGGGTCTGGGGTGGATGGCTGAAGTTCGGATTTCCAGATCGAGGGCCTCCATTTGGTGCCCACGAAAATTCGTGCGCCGATGCGAACTTTAGCTTTTCAGAGCATGACTTGGGTTTAGGGTCGAGGGTAGAGGGTTTAAGGTTTAGGGTTGAGGGATTAAGGTTAGGGGTTTGGGGTTTAGGGTGCCCAGAGGCTCAGATGCTCAGTCGCAAGGTTGCTTGTCTTGGTCTGAGAGGCGGCTAGAGCCGTGGACCCTAAACTTTCTCTGTGCCCTGAACCCGGAATCCGAAACCCTGAGCCCACATCCCACTCAAGCGCGGAACCTCTGTCAAGTGGTCAGGCCGTGCTGCTTGCCCGTCGTGGGAATTGCTTCTTCCAGGTGAAGGTGTTCGAGCTCGTGGTTTGGGATTTCTGGGCTTCAGGTCTGTTGGTATCAGGGCTCAGAGTTTCTTTGCGTTAATAATGGATCTGGGTTTCAGGCGTCTCGGGGTTTCGGGGTTTCAGGTTTAGGGCCTAGGGGTTTCGGGTTTGGGGTGTAGGGGTTCAGGCTCCAGCCCAGGAGCCTCGTAGTCGTGCCATGCAATATGCACTGCACAACGCTCCTTAGATGCCAAGTCCTCAACCTCAAGCCTTAAACCCGACGGCTCAAAGCCCAGCGTCGGGTTTGAACCCTCTAAAGAAGGTAAGGCACCATGTTCAGACCCTAAACCCTAAACCCTCCACCCTAAACCCTAAACCCTAAACCCTAAACCCTAAACCCTAAACCCTAAACCCTAAACCCTAAACCCTAAAAAACTACCCTTAGACCAACCCAAAGCAGGCCGCCCATGCCGAAGATGTGGGCGCTGTAGCACTGATCGTCTACAACGACGACCGACCTGCCGGGAAGCCAAGGGGAGGCCAGTCCCAAAAGCCGTTCCCTTGGGGTTTGGAGGGTTTGAGGTTAGAGTTCAGAGGGTTTAGGGTTTAGGGTTTAGGGTTCAGGGTTTAGGGTTAGGGTTTAGGGTTTAGGGTTTAGGGTTTAGGGTTTAGGGTTTAGGGTTTAGGGTTGAGGGTAATTCCTATGCTCCTCAACAAGCACCTAACCCCAGACCCCAAGTCGGGATGTGCTTTTTTTTTTTTTTTTTGGGGGGGGGGGGGGGGAAGCGGCCGTGTTCATATCTTGGGACATGCCCAACCCAGCCTTAGCAGGTTGGGGGCGGGTTCACCCGACATGATCTTACATTTAGGTCCAAACCCAAACCCTAAACCCTAAACCCTAAACCTCTCCTACCATATAATTATAAACCTTAATGGTATTCGTGGGCAAGGCCCAAATATTCGTGGGCAAGGCCCAAAGATTCGTGGGCAAGGCCCAAATATTCGTGGGCAAGGCCCAAAATCCGGATTTTGGGCCTTGCCCACGAATTTTTGGGCCTTGCCCACGAATTTTTGGGCCTTGCCCACGAATTTCTGGCGTTGCTGGTTCGTGGGCAAGGCCCAAAAATTCGTGGGCAAGGCCCAAATATTCGTGGGCAAGGCCCAAATATTCGTGGGCAAGGCCCAAATATTCGTGGGCAAGGCCCAAATATTCGT